TGAATGATTTTTTACATAAAAACTTGTTTCTCTTTTTATTATTGCGGATCTTACATGTATTATGCGTACAGTCTCATTTACAAAGTAACACTGATTTTAATTGAAAGTCTATTGGCATCTTCTTTTTATCATGTCATGTATTTCTTGATACATACCTTCATATTACAAGACTGATGGCTACTCTAACGTGTTGGTCGAATATAATCATCTGTAATGGATGAATTATAATAGAATGGAAGTATTAGTTCAATAAATATAAGAAATAATTATAGTCACACCTATTATGCCTAGAGTAGACATATGATTTTGTTTACTATTTATTGTAAAGAATAACAGACATGGATATACAAATGTCTTAATATGTATAAATATGTTTTATTTGCTTATTCCCATTGTCCACAGCACCATCGTACTTCGTAGACACTATTTCAGAAGTGAGTGCAGACGTGGGTCGCTCCATTACTCTGTCCTGTCAAGCGAAAGGAGAACCTGAGCCTAGAATCACCTGGTACAGAAACGGAGAAGTTGTTAATGGTATAATATTATCTTTTTTTTTCTTTTATACCTAGTTAAAAACATTGACAAAACAATCTTATTTTTTTTAAAACATGGTCTCACACTAGGATTTTCTCCTGTATCGTGGATCCGTTTACAAACATATACGTGCAAATATACAATGACACCCAGACCACCAGAGTCGGTTGCCCAGCCACCGCACCAACCGTGCAGTCGATATTTTTTCGTCTTTTAAATTGATTAGATAATTAGATCAACCGACATTTTTTCTCTTCTAATCTTAATATACTAACCATTTTACTTGTCTTTAAACCTTTTCCTATTACTTACTTACCTTCAAAAACACGTATTGCCTGTATGATTTTATAGCAACGAAAAATTTGTTGAGCTCTTCAGGTACCTTCAAGAACCTATATTTGTAAAAAGTGATTCAAAATCAGTTTTTGCTTATGCAAAATACCGATCATGTGTTTTTTCCATTAGTCGACCGATGCATACAATATGAACAATACATCAGTGTTGCTGCATATATTCTTAAGACAAAAATAAATGGGTTTCTAAATTCGACCTTGAACAGTTTATTTACCTTTGTTGGGTATTGTTTATAGGTATTACGATATTTATATATCGTAACTTATGCATGTGAATATAATTATTTATATGAAGGAGTATAATAATATAGGAAATTTAATGTGTGATCAATAGGGACGTAAGTAAGGCACTTCAATGAACTTAAAAAAATATTTTTAAAACTCTGAGTTTTGCGGTATTAATCATTATCAGAATAAAATGGCCGTCAGTAAATGCGTGTCCTGCTATGCTATATACCTCTAAATAAAAATGAATTTCCGTGTGTTAGTCTCGCTAAAACTCGAAAATTGCTGTACCGATTTCACTAATACTGGTCTTGAAATATTCGTGGAAGTCCAGGGAAGGTTTAAAAGGTGAGTAATCAAATTTTAGGCGCTACGAAGTTTGCCGGGACAGCTAGTTTTTAACTCGTCGAGTACCGGTTTTGTAGACACAATTATAGAACAATAGGTTGCGGTCACCGGTGACCGCTTGGTGTTTGACAGTTTAATAATAACAACAGTTAGAATAAAATAGAACCTGTAGGTATGATAACTGTTTCCTTAGGTTATTAATAATAATGATATAATACGAATGAGTATTCATCTTGCATGAAATTAAAACAAAAGGTGTCATAAATCATTTTGGTCATAAATATTTTATTACTGACTTTATAATAGTAAATTATTCTTACACAATCAGGCATATAATGCATAGGTACATAATATATGTTTTTCACAATAGATGAAGATAATTCCGAGAAGTACAAAGTGATGACGAAGTACAACATCCAGGGCTTTGAAGGTCTCCTCACCATCATTTCGCTGGAGCCAGAGGACAGTGGCGTTTACTCCTGTCAGAGCATCCAGGAGAGTGGAGATGTTGACGACTGTAGTCATACCACCAATTTTAATATAACTTTGAATGTTAATTGTGAGTATTTAGTTTGGCGATGACCTTGAAACTAATTATGATGAACCAAGAACTCTTTTATATTGTACCTTTTTCAGATGCTCCTATTTTTGAAGATGGAAACAAAACTAAATCAGTTTACGGCAAGAATAATCAAGAGTAAGTATTTCAGCTTGTTACACTACATAACACAAAAGTAACACGCAATTATGAATAGATACTTATATATAGTTATGATAACAAACAATGCTGATTTTTCT